GGAAAGCCGTCGCCATGGTCACAGCGAGCCCACGTTTAAGCCCTCGAGCTCGCCTCTGATTGGCTCAAAGCGGAGAGAGGGGAGAAAACACGCCCCGGAGCGCCCTCTGCAGGACAAAAGAAGAACTGCACTCACAAATCACAAACACTGAATTAAATATTAGGCCTGCAGTTTTCATTCAAAAGATATGATGTGTTTATTTATTTATTTTTTGGTTATGAATTGTTAATCGCGATGGAAACTGTCCTGATTTTGAAGTTGCGGTTAGAAAGAGGCATTTTTAACATACGCACACAACTAATCCAGTCATTCTTTATATTTTGAAACTAAAAAAGTGCTAAAATTGACTGATTAGCAGTGATACGAGAATCAGAAATTGGCTATAGCAGGAGTGTCAAACTCATTTTGGTCCGGGGGCCGTATCCAAACTACTTTGATCCTAAAGGGGCCGGATCAGAAAACTCATGTCATATAAACCCCAAAAATAACAATAACTTCAAATATTTGTGCAGAGAAACACAAATCTATTACAGAAATCTTTTAAAATTGATGAACTCTTTCTTATTATAATATTATAATATTATTAACAACCTGAAACTTGAAGAAAAATTCAATTTCAACACAATATTTTAACATGAACTTGTATGTAAATAGGAATAAGTCAATTTTTCTTGTAAAATCCTGCACTCGGCTCCACTTTTCTCATTTTTGACATTTTTCTGATGAGGGTGTCACGGTCAACAGTCAAAACGTTTATTCAGTTACAGGTTTTTTTTTATTGCTAAAAACAAAACAAAAGATGCATTTCTGCCGTGAGTGTGGTCGCCTCTCCACAGATCTGGCTTATAAATGGGTCTATATAGCAGAGGTGGGACCTACAAGTCGTGATTTTGACTTGAGTCAGTCCTGAATCACTGTTTTTTACGACTTGACTTAACTTGAAAAAATGAACCAAGACCCGGGACTCGATTTGGACTTAAAGATCACTGACTTTGGACTTGACTCGGACTTGAGGCCTGTGACTTGAGAAGCACTTTTAAGTCTAAATTTTTTCTATTCTGACCGTAATGATTCACACTAAGATCTTGTCAAGACATTTAAAAAGAACATTTCTACAACTCTTACATACTCTATAAATACTCGTTTATAAATATACTATGATTTTTGAAGTACAGTTTACTTTAAGTCATATAAATTGCAAAAATCTAAGATATATTTGGTACTTTGGTTTAAAGACTTGAAGTTCAAAGCTGACGACTCGAGACTCGACTTGGACTTGCCTGTATTTGGCTTGGGACTTGACTCGGACTTGCGGTCAAAGACTTGAGACTTACTTGCAAAACAACGACTTGGTCCCACCTCTGGTCTATGTTGAGTTCACATAAAAACATTCCAGGCCAAGCAACGACAAACAGCTGCCGGACGAGCCACCTGAGAAAGTTCCATAGTGCTTCTTTAACTATAACTTGTTTCAAAAAAGAGTTTAAACCTGTATTTGCAGTAAAGCCAAATATCTTTATAATCAGTGTTGGGGAGTAACAGATTACATGTACCAGAGTTATGTAATCAGAGTACAAATGATGAGTAACTGTATTCAGTTACAGTTACTGTTTCAGTGAGTGGTAATTGGATTACAGTTACTTTGTTGAAATAAATGGATTACACGGCGGTATTTTCCTGTTTTCACATTTTGGGCTAAACCAGGACTAAAACAGGTCTAAACCAGGACTAAACCAGGACTAAACCAGGTCTAAACCAGGACTAAAACAGGTCTAAACCAGGTCTAAACCAGGACTAAAACAGGACTAAACCAAGTCTAAACCAGTTCTAAACCAGGACTAAAACAGGACTAAACCAGGACTAAAACAGGACTAAACCAGGTCTAAACCAGGACTAAACCAGGTCTAAACCAGGACTAAAACAGGTCTAAACCAGGTCTAAACCAGGTCTGAACCAGGACTAAAACAGGACTAAAACAGGTCTAAACCAGGTCTAAACCATGACTAAACCGGGTCTAAACCAGGACTAAACCAGGTCTAAACCAGGACTAAAACAGGACTAAACCAGGTCTAAACCAGGTCTGAACCAGGACTAAATCAGGATTTGACAGGACTGAACCATGTCGTGTGGACGTGTCTCCTCTTCTTCTATCAATAATATTTTTAATTTGGTTCAGTAAAGTCTGGGCTTTTTATTTTCTTTTATCAGACAAAACTTCTTATGTTACGATTTCCTCGTCTTTGCTTCTCTACAGCAAATCAAGTAATCCAAAGTATTCAGATTACGTTACTCACTTTAAGTAATTTAATGGATTACGTTACAAACTACATTTTGGAGTATGTAATCTGTAATCTGTAGGGGATTACATTTTTAAAGTAACACTCCCAACACTGCTTTATAAGTCCATTCATAAGAAGTGAAAAGCAAGTTCATTCATTCAATACGAAATTCAGTGAAGTCGGTTTGTAACACTGCACCGCCATCTGCTGGACACTCGGGGAAATGACAAACGTATAGCAGCTTAGTTACGTAATACACTCTCCGTAAGAAGGTCGAGGGTTCAATCCCCGGCCCTGGCTTCAATCTCCCTTTCTCACTCACTCAAATTAAGCGTTGGACGTCATTTGCCAGGCTTCATCTAGAAAATTGGACACGGTATTTTTCAAGGTCGTATATGTTGTTTTTTTTTCTTCTTTTAAGAGTTAATCATAAAAAATCGGGCAGTCGCTTGTGAACAGTCATGTTTTATTTGGTCAGATATAGATATTAATACATTCAAGCATTCAGTTATTCCACAATATTTACACTATTTACACATTCATCTACTATTCAGGATGAAGCTGTTGTATTTATTACTTTACATGGAAGACTCAATCGTGTGATGTTTCTACGTAATTCGATCAGATATGGCCTGTTTTTGTCGTTTTAAGTGGTATGAAGTGCGAACCTATTGCTTTCCGATCTGCTTTAACATCACAAACTGAGTCCTGTTGCGTACAAATAACAGAAAATACATGAAACCGGGTATTTTTGAAGAAAACTTGGTCCAGTGTTGATGATTTTCCGTTTTCCCGGTTTTAGTTTGACATTTAAAACACATGTAATTAAAATAAACAAGATCTTAAGCGTTCAGTATGTCACTTTTTTGCACGATTCCTTGAAAATTAAAAGTTAAGACCATATTTGGAAACATTCTCTGTGCCGTAGTGTTGGAGATTATCGCAAAAAAATCGATCAAGGAGGGTAAAGATGTGTGTTTTTCAGTTCAATAAACCGTAAACGACATTTTAAAAAGGCAAAAAAGTGACGTGCTGCGGCTTTGAAACACACCGATGATCATTTTTAAAAATCAGAAGCCTTTTTGTTTTTATTATTCGACACAATTCAGACAAAGTTTACAATATTACAGAAATATCGGTCAAGAGAATAAGGCACGAAACATAGACGAACAAAGACGCGTGGAATTATTCGGTTTTCCTCCAAAAACGTTGTAATCTCTGAGCGTTATCAGGTCCATGTTAGTGGCATTTGCGATTTTTATTTCGATTATGATTCCGTAACCAATTATTTCATTTCATGCCCGAGAACATCCCTGAATTACAAATAAAATCTAATTCCTATTGCAATATTAAAACAGTAAACAAATCCTTCCATACACCAAATAAAAGATAAAAACAGTAGTTAAGTCTCTTCAGCAACTTCTTCATAGACAATATCATTTTATTCGGTGAAGGTCCATATGGAAATGCAGAGTTAATGAGAATATAAAAGTGCATTAAATGATCATTAACCAAACTATACTCCTATATTCTCTAAATATTAGTTCAATAAAGATCTGTAAAATACATACAATCCATGAGACAGAAGTCTGAGTTAGCATCACTAGCTTTGTACAGTGTGGAACTACAGGAGTCAAGCAGGAAACACGGAGATTTGAGAGAGTTTCAAAGCAAAATGCAAACTTTGAATAGTCAAATTGGAAATGTTTGTGAAGCTCTGGTGATTATTCATATTTTTTTTTACGTTTTAAACATTGACAGTGGTTAAAGCAGAAATCAGTAACTTGAGTTAAAAGTGAAAAAATCCATATTCAGTGTTGGGGAGTAACAGATTACATGTACCAGAGTCACGTAATCAGAGTACAAATTATGAGTAACTGTATTCAGTTACAGTTACTGTTTCAGTGAGTGGTAATTGGATTACAGTTACTTTGTTGAAATAAATGGATTACTCGGTGGGATTTTGCCGTTTTCACGTTCCCCCTTTTTTTTTCCTCGGTAATTCCACTCATTGCCGGACACTAAACCAGGACTAAACCAGGTCTAAAACCAGGTCTAAACCAGGTCTAAACCAGGTCTAAACCAGGTCTAAACCAGGTCTAAACCAGGTCTAAACCAGGTCTAAAACCAGGTCTAAACCAGGTCTAAACCAGGTCTAAACCAGGTCTAAAACAGGTCTAAACCAGGTCTAAACCAGGTCTAAACCCAGGTCTAAAACCAGGTCTAAAACCAGGTCTAAAACCAGGTCTAAAACCAGGTCTAAAACCAGGTCTAAACCCAGGTCTAAAACAGGTCTAAACCAGGTCTAAACCAGGTCTAAAACAGGACTAAACCAGGTCTAAACCAGGTCTAAAACCAGGTCTAAACAGGTCTAAACCAGGTCTAAACCCAGGTCTAAACCCAGGTCTAAACCAGGTCTAAACCAGGACTAAACCAGGTCTAAAACCAGGTCTAAACCAGGTCTAAACCAGGTCTAAACCCAGGTCTAAACCCAGGTCTAAAACAGGACTAAACCAGGTCTAAACCCAGGTCTAAACCCAGGTCTAAAACAGGACTAAACCAGGTCTAAACCCAGGTCTAAACCCAGGTCTAAAACAGGTCTAAAACCAGGTCTAAACCAGGTCTAAACCAGGTCTAAACCAGGTCTAAACCAGGTCTAAACCAGGTCTAAAACCAGGTCTAAAACCCAGGTCTAAACCAGGTCTAAACCAGGTCTAAAACCAGGTCTAAAACAGGATTTAACAGGACTAAATCATGCTGCGTGGACCGTGTCTCCTCCTCTTTTATCAATAATATTTTTAAAGACTCTGTCTTTTCATTTTCTTTTATCAGACAAAACATCTTATGTTACGATTTCCTCATCTTTGCTTCTCTACAGCAAATCAAGTAATCCAAAGTATTCAGATTACATTACTCACTTTAAGTAATTTAATGGATTCTGTTACAAACTACATTTTGGTGTATGTAATCTGTAATCTGTAGGGGAATTACATTTTAAAAGTCACCTTCCCAACACTGTCCAGAGCTCACTCAGATGGCCGATGTCCAAAAGCGTTTTTAAACATTTTTAAATAACGTTTCAGCAAAAAAGCCTTCGTCAAATCATTTTTCTTGCTTTGAACCGCAGTATACAAGAAAAGGAAGAAAAAAAATCATCTGACGGAAGCTTTGGGGCTGAAACGTTATTTAAAAATAAAAATAAAAAGCTTTCGGACATCGGTCATCTGAGTGTGGTATGGATTTTTTTCACTTTTATTTTCCTGTTCCTTGCATTTGCACCTTTACAAAAACCTTCGTTGTGCATTTTCTGTTTCATTTGAGAAATCAGTAACTCTGAATTTAAGTTTTTGTGCTTTGTTTTGAAAATAGGCAAAGTAAAAATGTTATGAGTTTAAAGCCCAGTACAGGCAACATTAAATTATATCTAAAAATGTCAGAAAATGAGAAAATGCAAGTTAAAAATATTAAGAATCCATCCTTATATTTCTAACTTTGTGAAATATTATAAAAAACTGCACGTAATAATTAATTAATTTACTGTTATTACAACTTTTAACCACTAGGGGCTCACTTCACTTCTTTATAAAGCTGCTGGCAACGCAATGAAAACAGCAAATATACGAGATCACTTTATCCTACAACCATCTGCTAATGTATTTTTATAATTTTTTGGTAAGAATAAAGAGCAAACTGCAGTATCCATGTTATAATTTTAAAGCAGCATTTTGATTAAGAGCTTCTCAAACCTCAGCGCGGATTCCCGTTGACCCCAGCGTCAGAGATACGAGTACAGTTGTGTCTAGAATGTGGTCAGTTTGACGAAAGACTGGCCCGTCCTCAGAAACAGTCATAAAGTCGAAAAAGAGCCTCGTTGAGAGAGGAATGTCCCTGCCTCCTTCAGTAACAGTCAAAAGATTCACAACTTCAAATCGAAAGTGGGTCGGAGAGAAAACCGGCCGTGATTCTGAGCGATTATCAGCTGCGACGCTACGTTTTTTTTATAACGAAAGTGTCACAAGTAAAACATTTTGAATCTTGAATTAAACAGAATTAACACAAAAAAAACTTGGTAACACTTTAGAATAACTACACCAAAATAAGCTTTAAACGTGCACTGTGTTACTTTTCTTGAACTGTTCAGTCAGAAATGTTTCCCAGTGAGGCATTAAACTCATCGATCTCCATGGAGACAAGCAAGTCAAGGTACAGACCAGTTCCGTGGAGAGGCGGGCCCGCTCGCACAAGAATACATGTTATTAAAAGCTATTTCTGAACAATAAAATCACCTCTAATGAAACAAAGGCTGAATATACTTTTAATGCCATACTGTGGAACATACCAAGCGCAGAAATAATACAGAAAAGCTACATAATGCACCTTTAAGCATGAACATAATGATATAAAGTTATTATGATTCTTAATTAAAAGGTAAAGGAGTTTTAGAGTATTCATTAAGTACTCATGAATCATTCTTAATAAACTTTTTGTTCATTAAAGAATTAAATATTAAGCTTAATTAAAATAGTTACAATAAAGTGGTACCAATAACGTTTCATATTGTTGTGGCTCTTTACATGCGCAGGATCAAATGTTAAATGTCATTAAAATACTATTTACTGTCATGAAATAAGTGTCTGATGAAGGTCATTTAAACTGTAAAAGAATGTATTTAAACAAGTGAATTTAAAACATGAAATATTTACTAAACTTGTCCAGTCGAGAAAGGTGCACTGCGCTCGTCTGTACGGAGATATCGCAGTTATTACTATGCCTGGAATGTTGCACGGTATGGCTTTAATCTCAGGTCTGTGAAGAGGTGAGCCAGCACAGAGTAAGAATGCAGGATTTATAATGATTTCTTTAACAATAAAAATAAATAAATCAATAAAAGCTGGAGAAGCAGTAACAGTACCGTATTTTTCGGACTATAAGTTGCTTTGTTTTTATGGTTTATGTGGTACTGTGACTTATACTCCGGTGCGACTTATATATTAAAATTTTCACACTGACAGGCGCGAGAGGCTCTAGACTTCTGTGTCAGTATCTGCTGCTCCTGTTACTCCTGTATCACTTGTGTCACTTTGCTCTACTGCACATGTCTCCTGCAAGTAGTGAAATATGCAGCCGAAAAGCGGTAATCGAGCAGCAGAAAGAAAGTTCGGAGTGAGCGTGAAACTTGTGAGGGAGAACACAGCTTCACTGCAACTACTGAAACTTTCCTGAAAGTCACCGGATGGATGGACAAATCCTGAACTTCAGTGACACCGAAACCATCCTGTCGGGATTCAGAAAGTCCGGAATAATTCTAACTGGAACTGATGCCGAGTCTGACGACAGCGACGCAGAAGAGGAAGCGGCGCTCTGTTTACCTCCGGAGGTCGCGGAGTTGCTCAGAAGTGACACCGAGGATGAAGCATTGAATGGATTTAGTGATTTGGAGTGAGATGGAGAGTTTAGTAAAGTTGTTCTGCTATATTGTTTATGTTATATTTATCTGAAGAACTGTTCATATGTGACGTTAACAGTCTGTTGTTCTCTCTTCTACTGTTATTATTAAAACTTGCCTTTCAAGATTAAATGTTCAAGATGAAATTTCCCCGCAACTTATAGTCCGGTGTGACTTAAATGTGTTTTTTTTCCTTCTTCATTACGCATTTTTTGGCTGGTGCAACTTATACTTATAGTCCGAAAAATACGGTAAATATCTCCAAAGAAACAAGCGGGTGATGGATCCTCTACTAGAAAAGTTACGCAGTGCACCTTTAAAACAACTTTTAGAGAGGTTTTAGTATACGCCAAGAGCAGGGGTGTCGCTATAAATTCTTCTTGGTCGGCGCGCACTTTTCCCCGCACTCCTAACACGTGTTTGTCTACTGAAAAACGCACATTAGAAGACTTTAAGAGGGGCCCCTTTACCCTCTGCCCCCGAAAGTGCGACGCCCCTGGCCCCGACGAGCCGCTGTAAAAGTAAATAAACGGCGGTCGCAGTCGAATCGGACTTGAAACGCGGCCGGTTTTGTCGTAATCGCGGTCAAAAATCGCTATTCTTAACGTGTAAACCTGTGGATGCTGGAGTCATGAAGGCTTTGAATAGTGCGGTTTGGATTAGTATTCAGGATGAGTCTGCTGCAGTTCACAACTCGGGCTCATTATCTCACACAAAAGAGCAACACACACACACAGAGAAACACACACACGCATACTTCCCCAAACGCGCACACACACACACACACACACAAACAAACACACGCACATATACAGGGGAGACTGACAGACGGAGCGATAGCAGTGAGAGAAAACACTAACGAGAGAGAGGAGTGAAAAGAGGAGAGAAAGTGAGGAGAGGGAAGACTGCTGCTGCCATGGCGACGGTACAGAGCGGGGGAACGGAGGGGAGATGTTAAACACGTCTATAATGGTGAACAAGGGATCTGATCTGGGCTGCTATTAAATTCTGTTAAGTAAGGAGTATGTGGGTTCTTTTTTTTTTATTTTCTTTTTTTTGGAGAAAGCCTCTAGTGGTCAATAAAGAGTACTGCACGCTGAGGCTGACACTGCGTTATTTTTGTTCCGCTTTGTACTTCTTATCGATGGCATTTTGAGAACTTTGAGACGCAAAATTGACCACTGTAAGCTTTAAGCCATGTTAGAACGCTGTTATCTCCTCAAGAACTAAAAAGGAGATTTATGGACTTGTAATCAGGTGGAAAAGTCCAAGTGTAATGATTATAAAAGTCTGATTAAAATGGAGTGAATTTTAGTTTAGTTTTTTTGTTTTTTATTCGTGGGTTTGACTGAAAAACGTCTTTTATTTCTCAAAATTGACTAATATGAGTGTGTTTCCTCATCAAAAACAGAGCTAAAGTTGTGTTTTGTTTCATTCACGTGTTTGAGTAACCTTTAATTATTAATGTGTTTACATTTCAAATGCTCAAAATGCTCCGTCCCACCTTGTGATGTCACGCAGTTTTCAAGTTTTACCTTTTGTTCAGTAGAAACGGGCAATTCCAGGGCTGAAATTATCCAAATGATTCAAGTGAAGCGGAATGGAGTTTACAAAAACACAGTGGAGCACTTCCTGTATTACCACGTGACATCACAAGGTGGAACAGAGCGTTTTCAGTTTGAGAGAAGAACTCGAAACACAATAAATATGCAGGACTTGTGTTTTAAACGTGCGTGAATGAAACAAAACACGACTCCAGGTCTGTTTTTGTTGAGGAAAATCACAGAAAATAGTTTAACACGGGCCCTTTAAATTGTTGAAATTGTTGATTGCCATGGCAACGGTCCAGTTTATTTATTTTGCTTTTCGTCAGTCTAAAACGCAACGGTCGGAGCCAGCGTTAGACCAAATTAATCTCCGAGTGGCACTGTCTCTTAGGTACACTTTATTGTCCCTACGAGGAATTCAGTTAATTTGCATCTCGCCCAGCAACAGGAAGTATCGCCATGGAGACCGTGTCCCCTCTTTTTGATATGCAAATTCACCTGTTGTAACCACGGAGACCACCCCTTTGTTCAACGATTTCCCCGCCAAAAAAAAAAACTTCAAAGGTCATTATTGCACTTTTTAACCCTGACCAAAATAAAAAACTAAACAAAAAAACAGAGCTGTAATGACCCCACCATCCACAAGTTTAGAATTTTTAAAACTATTGTGCAAATAAAACATAATAAAAAAGAGCCTGTTTAAGTTGTTTGTATAGCAGACAGTGTGGTTTCCTCTTCTCTTCCGTAGAAAATCAAGTGTTTGCTTTTAATGGGCTTGTGCAGTGACCTATGACGCAGGAAGTCGTTCCGAGATCCATGTGCTCACTTCCTTCAGCACGTTCTCCACCACTTCTGGGAGGTCGTGGTGCAGCGCGTGGTACGCTCCTTCATAAACCTGCAACAACAAAACACACATGAGTCAAGTTTAGTCATTTTAACATATTAGCAATTAGGGTTTAGTACGGTAGTAGTAGTAGTAGTAGTAGTAGTAGTAGTAGTAGTAGTAGTAGTAGTAGTAGTTGCAGTTGCAGTTGTAGTTGTAGTAGTAGTAGTATTTATGTAGCATTTATTTGGTGTGTATAAAGTGTATTTGTTTTACAGAGCAGTTGTAGTACTAGTAGTACTTGTAGTAGTAGTAGTAGTAGTAGTATTTGCAGTTGTAGTAGTAGTAGTGCTTGCAGTTGTTGTACTAGTAGCCTTAGTACTTGCTGCAGCAGCAGTAGTAGTAGTACTAGTAGTAGTAGTAGCAGCAGTAGTAGTACTTGCAGTTGTAGTAGTAATAGTACTTGCAGTTGTAGTAGTAATAGTACTTGCAGTTGTAGTAGTAATAGTACTTGCAGTTGTAGTAGTAATAGTACTTGCAGTTGTAGTAGTAATAGTACTTGCAGTTGTAGTAATAGTACTTGCAGTTGTAGTAGTAATAGTACTTGCAGTTGTAGTAATAGTACTTGCAGTTGTAGTAGTAATAGTACTTGCAGTTGTAGTAATAGTACTTGCAGTTGTAGTAGTAATAGTACTTGCAGTTGTAGTAGTAATAGTACTTGCAGTTGTAGTAGTAATAGTACTTGCAGTTGTAGTAGTAATAGTACTTGCAGTTGTAGTAGTAATAGTACTTGCAGTTGTAGTAATAGTACTTGCAGTTGTAGTAATAGTACTTGCAGTTGTAGTAGTAATAGTACTTGCAGTTGTAGTAGTAATAGTACTTGCAGTTGTAGTAGTAATAGTACTTGCAGTTGTAGTAGTAATAGTACTTGCAGTTGTAGTAGTAATAGTACTTGCAGTTGTAGAAGTAATAGTACTTGCAGTTGTAGTAGTAATAGTACTTGCAGTTGTAGTAGTAATAGTACTTGCAGTTGTAGTAGTAATAGTACTTGCAGTTGTAGTAGTAATAGTACTTGCAGTTGTAGTAGTAATAGTACTTGCAGTTGTAGTAGTAATAGTACTTGCAGTTGTAGTAGTAATAGTACTTGCAGTTGTAGTAGTAATAGTACTTGCAGTTGTAGAAGTAATAGTACTTGCAGTTGTAGTAGTAATAGTACTTGCAGTTGTAGTAATAGTACTTGCAGTTGTAGTAGTAATAGTACTTGCAGTTATAGTAATAGTACTTGCAGTTGTAGTAATAGTACTTGCAGTTGTAGTAGTAGTACTTGCAGTTGTAGCAGTAGCAGTACTTGCAGCAGTAGTAGTAGTAATTGCTGTAGTAGTTGCAATAGTAGTACTTGCAGTTGTAGTAGTAGCAGTACTTGCAGCAGTAGTAGTAGTAATTGCTGTAGTAGTAGTGCTTGCAGTTGTAGTAGTAGTATTCATTTAGCATTTATTTTGTGTGTATAAAGTGCATTTGTATGGCACAGCAGTTGTAATAGTAGTATTTGCAGTTGTAGCAGTAGTACTTGCAGTAGTAGTAGTAGTAGTAGTAGTAGTAGTAGTAGTAGTAGTAGTAGTAGTAGTAGTAGTAGTAGTAGCAGTGTTGTTGTATTGAATATCAGATACTAATCAATAAAAATAGCGCACTGAAACTCATTTGAGCAGGTATCGATACAAAAAAAAAGTCATAAATGATTTCAGTTTTAATGGTATAATTCCGTTCAAAGTCATATTAATATTCATCTGTTCAGAAGAAATGACTGAAAAAAGCCTGACAAGAACTGACAAACTAATACATAAATCACAATTCAGGGCATGTTTGTACAGATCTAAACTACAGTGTTAGCAGTTTTTATGCAGAATAAGATAAAGAAAATCTCAGCTTTTGCCGTTCAAATTGTGGTTTATGATAATTATTAGTTTGTACAACCATAAACAAAACCAAACTGGCATCTTTGAAAAATGAAAATATGAAAAAAAAAGCCTTTACAAAAGAGTATAAAGCGTTATTGTTTTGAAAGATATAGAGCTCTGGAATGAATGAATTATGCATTAAATTTAGTTTGTTTTCATTTATATTTTGTCTTATATATACAGGAAGTCATAAGTGAAATTGTAAATGCAAACTTGTTGTTCATACGCTGCTTTTCTTTCTAGGAATTGTGTCATTGTTTAATAAGGTTTGGCTTTATAAGTACTTTTTTACTTCAGCCTAAACCCTTTCGTCCTGATCCATGGGGTTGTAGTCTATGTTTTGTTTTGTTTTGTTTTGTTTTGTAGTGCTGCAAAATGACTGAATAAAACTACTGCTAACAAAAAAGGGAACAGATTAAATTGCGAATAATCTTGCAGCCTTAGCAACCTTTAATATCAGAACAATTGAAGTTTCAGAGCAGAATCACACACGCTCATAACAGTGTGTAGAGAGACTCATACTGTGAACTTGTACTTCACTCCTCAGTCACACCCGGTGCTGGTAAAAGCTCCGAGTGGCGGTCATTTGTTGCCTAGAGACCGTCCAATCAAACGAGCACATTCTTGTGAACTGTCAATCTCCTGCTCGTTGGAAAATGATGTCATGTGTTATATACAGTATGTAGGGCAGGGGCCTCTCTGTGGGTGGCTCATAGTTCTTGAAAGAAATATCCACAAATCTAATCCAGTGTTTCCTAAAGTTTTTTTCTGGGGACCCATATTTTAAAAGTCACAAACCTTCGCGACCCAAATCAATAGACATTATTCGTAAATCACAAAATAAAGGTGAGTTTGAACATTATTGAACATAAATGAGGATATTTTATTGTTGACTGAGTGATCGTGTCTCTGAACAAATAGTATTACTCAAGTTTTAAACAATGAAAAACAGAAATTGAACCAGCAATAAAAGGATCCATAAATCACCTATTTGGACATTAAATGTAGCCCATTTCTTTTTCTTTTCATTCAATTGAACCAGCAATACTGGAACAAAATAGTCATTAAAATAATTACAAAAAGATTTGAAATGATACAAAACATGTCTTAACATCCAGCCTCCTGGACGCCTCCCTCTGGACGCCTCCCTCGGGCACATCCCACCGGGAGGAGGCCCCGGGGCAGACCCAGGACACACTGGAGGGACTATGTCTCTGGGCTGGCCTGGGAACGTCTGGGGATCCCCCTGGAAGAGCTGGAGGACGTGTGTGTGGAGAGGGAAGTCTGGGAGGCCCTCCTCAGACTGTTGCCCCCGCGACCCGACCTTGGATAAGCGGGAGAAAATGGATGGATGGATGGATGTCTTAACATTTCAATTAGAGCCTGACCGATATATCGGTTGGCCGATATTATCGGCCGATATGGGCACCTGGAGACATATCGGCTATCTGCCGATATGTTTGCTGATAGGGGCCGATATTTCACGTGGGCAAGTGATACGTCGTTATAAATCTTAGACTCTCTACATTCTGTTCATTTAATCCAATTTACAGACAGATAAATGTCCTAATATGTGGCTCCACATCAGTATTTATCTGCGGAGTCATTTGTCTGTGTGTGTGTCTGTCCTGTCCTGTCTCACAGACACAGATCCAAACACTGAGATTATATTCTTTTTATGGACAATCGGTTTGAGTCTGGATTAAAAGGACATTTATTAGTGCAGATTTGTGATGTGGGAGGAGCCTGTATGAGCGGTGAGTGTTGGAAATATGTCGACTTTGAAGCTAGTTTTGTTTATTTGTTATTGGTCAGTGATTATCTTCTGTAGCTCCCGCACATAAACAGACTGTTTTCTATTGGTCTATTGTAAAGTGACTATATTGGCCGTATATTTGTTACTGGACCTGCACTGATACATAAATGAGCTGTGAACAGACGTGTGAATTATGACATTTGCGCATATAATTAATTACTGCGGCGCCACGTATTCATCACGGAAAAGATGGCATGATTTTAACTTTATCTGCCATGTGGTCAGTGTTGGGGAGTAACAGATTACATGTACCAGAGTTATGTAATCAGAGTACAAATGATGAGTAACTGTATTCAGTTACAGTTACTGTTTCAATGAGTGGTAATTGGATTACAGTTACTTTGTTGAACTAAATGGATTACATAGCGGGATTTTCCTGTTTTCACATTTTGGGCTATATCCCTCTTTTTTTTTCTTTTTTTTTTTTAGTAATTCCAGTCATTGCTGGAAACTAAACCAGGACTAAAACCAAGTCTAAACCAGATCTAAACTAGATCTAAAACAGGATTTAACAGGACGAAACCATTCTATCAATAATATTTTTAATATGGTTAAGGAAAGTCTGGGCTTTTTATTTTCTTTTAGCAGACAAAACATCTTATGTGAAGATTTCCGAGTCTTTGCTTCTCTACAGAAAATCAAGTAATCCAAAGTATTCAGATTACATTACTCACTTTAAGTATTTTAATGGATTACGTTACAAACTACATTTTGGGGTATGTAATCTGTAATCTGTAGGGGAATACATTTTAAAAGTAACACTCCCAACACTGCATGTGGTATTAAAGGCTTTTAATTATCTTGTACTTTTTGAGTGCTTCGGTTTTTTCAACTTTGTACTAGACAGAGTTGTTTAATGTCAAATGTAACATTAAAGGCAAAGTAATAACACCGTGAAGAAAAGCAACACAGATCCTCCGCCAGAAAAGTTACACAGTGCAGCTTTAACCTCTGAGGAGTGTAGTGTGTTGTCAGGTTTATGGAGTGTACCTTGAGCTTCTTGTCGGTGCTGGTGGAGCTGTCGTACATCAGATGGGAGCCCCGGAGGTCGCACAGTCTGTCCGCGTCGCCGTGGAGAAGGTAAAAGGGCCAGTGGATGTTGGGCAGCTCCCTCTCGATCCTGGTCACGGCCCCCATGAGCTGCATCGCAAAAGACACCCTCATCCCCCCGTGGTGCACCAGCTCGTCTGCGTCATACGCCTCCACCTGGACAACACGGGAATTACACTGAATACACGTTTGCATTATCGACACATGTTCCACACAAACTAATTAAGACGTGCTTTATTTATTTTATTTTAATGATGGTAACTTTCCTGAGATTCTCCTGTTTTCTTTAGAATATTCACCTGACAAGGCCAAGTTAAAAGTCAGATCTGTGGAGAGGTGAGCCTGCTCACAGTAAGAAATCATGTTTTTCTTGGTAATAAAAATGGCTGTTATTGAATATGCTAGATCAGGGGTGTCAAACATACGGCCCGGGGGCCAGATCCAGCCCTCCAAGACCTTTAATCTGGCCTCGGCTGATTTTCTACTAAAAATTTAAATTAGCGTCTCTGTACGTGGCCCCTCCCACCAGAGCAGCACAAATGAAGACTTGTCTCTTTCCAAACGCTCTTAAAGGACGATCGTTTTGACTGTTGACCGTGACACCCTCATCAGAAAAATGTCCAACATGAGAAAAGTGGAGCCGAGTGCAGGATTTTACAAGAAAAAATTTACTTATTCCTATTTACATACAAGTTCATGTTAAAACTTTGTATTGAAATTACATTTTTCTTAAAGTCTCAGGTTGTTCATAATATTATAATATTTTGTAAAAGAAAGAGTTCATCAATTAAAAAAGATTTCTGTAATAGATTTCTGTTTCTCTGCACAAATATTTGAACTTATTGTTATTTTTGGGGTTTATATGTCATGAGTTTTCTGATCCGGCCCCTTTGGGATCAAAGTCGGTTGGATACGGCCCCCGGACCAAAATGAGTTTGACACCCTTGTGCTAGATATAGACAAGTTTAAATACCATAATGTGCAATATGACGACCTGGACTCCTATGTTACGCTAAATTGAGTCATGTGAGGTTTAAGTCAAGTTCTAATGTTGTTCCCTCCTCAAAAACAGACCTGGAGTTGTGTTTTGCTCATTCACACATGTTTGAGTAATCCTTTTGTGCTGGATACCTCTGCCACCACTCCATAGTGTCAGTATTTCTTTTCATTTACATTAACTACACCACACATAGTTTAATTTAATTCCTTTATTTAGACTTTTATTCTAATTTGAGTGCACACATTTTAGTTAATATAAGTCGGATTTACTTACACTTGGTTTTTTTTAGCACTGAACGAAGGACCCTTAGGAGAGACCATCACTAAGTCAGTTTGTTTAGTTTGTGTTAAGGTCACTTTATTGTCACTTATTATTTGCCATATGAATCTTTAATGTAGGGTGACCAGATGTCTCTATTTTCCCGGGACAGTCCCAGTTTCGAGCCCTGTGTCCCCTGTCCCAGCAGATTTATCCAAAATCAGTGATTTGTCCCAGTTTTATACAAGAAATGTCCCAGGTGTCTCTATTTTTGACAAATTTGACACCTACCAACACTAAATAGAGGCATGAATTGTCATTTTTTTTAGGTAAAATACAAAAAAATCTACTTAAAAAGGACCAAAACACAAAGAAAATGCGACTATACTGGCTCACGTGTTGATCATGAATAACAATTTTCCTTAATTACACACTCAACCATCAAAAAACCAGGATATCTCAGTTTTTTTTATTTTTAAATTCTGGTCACTCTGTTTTAATAGATAACAGTCACTCTTATTAGTCACACTTATTCTTTTCTGTATTATAATTATTTGCCTTTTTGTTACTTTGATGAAGTTAGTAGATTAGTTAATTATTTAGTGTAATTCCTCCCTCTTGAGTTTAGCTTTAGTTGGTCCTCAAGTATTTAAACACCCCTGTTCTTTTGTCTGGTTGGTTAGTTTTGCTCTGTTCAGTTTGATTTGAGTTACCCCAGTTGGACCCGGCTTTTTTGTTATTATTTACCTTATTTGAGCCTTTGTTAAATTATATCTTTTTTTTTTTTTACTTTATTAAATTTAAACTTATTTTTATACCTTGTCTTTGCCTTTCTGTTTGGTCCACTACACCTTTATTATTAGTCTGTGTACATTTCCAAACCTCAAAAATGCTCTGTTCCACCTTGTGAAGCGTTTTTTTACCCTTCGTCAGTGTTGGGAGTGTTACTTTTAAAATGTATTCCCCTACAGATTACAGATTACATACACCAAAATGTAGTTTGTACCGTAATCCATTAAATTACTTAAAGTGAGTAATGTAATCTGAATACTTTGGATTACTTGATTTGCTGTAGAGAAACAAAGACAAAGATATCGTAACATAAGATGTTTTGTCTGATAAAAGAAAATAAAAAGCCCAGACTTTACTGAACCAAATTAAAAATATTATTGATAGAAGAGGAGGAGACACGTCCGTGCAGCATGATATAGTCCTGTTTTAGTCCTGTTTTAGTCCTGGTTTAGTCCTGGTTTATTCCTGGTTTAGTCCTGTTTTAGTCCCGTTTTAGTCCCGTTTTAGTCCCGGTTTAGTCCCGGTTTAGTGCGGGCTTTGTGTGTGTTTAGTGCGGGTTTAGTCCTGGTTTAGTCCTGTTTTAGTCCTGGTTTAGTCCCGGTTTAGTGCGGGCTTTGTGTGTGTTTAGTGCGGGTTTAGTCCTGGTTTAGTCCTGTTTTAGTCCCGGTTTAGTCCTGGTTTAGTTCTGGTTTAGTCCTGGTTTAGTGCGGGCTTTGTGTGTGTTTAGTGCGGGTTTAGTCCTGGTTTAGTCCCGGTTTAGTCCCGGTTTAGTCCTGCTTTAGTCCGGTTTTAGTACCGTTTTAGTCCCGGTTTAGTCCTGATTTTAGTGCGGGTTTTAATCCTGGTTTTAGTCCTGGTTTAGACCTAGTTTAGTTTTCGGCAATGAGTGGAATTACCGAGAAAAAAAAGGAAAAAAAAGGGGGATATAACCCAAAATGTGAAAACAGGAAAATATCTCTGTGTAATCCATTTATTTCAACAAAGTAACTGTAATCCAATTACCACTCACTGAAACTGTAACTGTAACTGAATACAGTTACTCATAATTTGTACTCTGATTACATAACTCCGGTTCATGTAATCTGTTACTCCCCAACACTGCCCTTCGCTCAGTAAAAATGGGCAGTTCCAGGGCTGAAATTATCCAAATGATTCTAATAAAGATGCACGGAGTTTAAAAAAAATAGTCTAATACGGGCCTTTTAAACACCTCGCAGACACCTGGACTCGCAGACTTAAAGCTCAGTGTCAGAGAAACTTGTTTAGGTAGATTAGAAGGACATGTGTAGTTCCTGAAAAGGAAAGAGCCCGAGTCTGGAGTGACTGTAACAGAAGACCAGACTGAAACCAGAGCCTGAGCTGACAGTCACGATGAGTTAGTGCCTCTCACAGATAAAACATAGAACTCTGCTGTGGCGTTTTTGCTCTGAACTCTCTAGGTAAACTGAGTGCAGCAGGTGAAGGATGAGCTTAAAGTCCCTGAAACTAAACCCAGCTTTAATAATGAACAGTTGTAACGTGACACCGTCCTACAGGTGTGAACTAAACACACTGTCCTGACACCCGCAACACAAATCTATATAAGCAATGTGGAAATTCTTATGTCTTGGCAGATAATATTGTTTAAGCTTTAATTTTATGCTTCGATGTAAAATGTTTAACTACATTTTAACATAATTTCACATTCACTCGATGCTCTAGAGCAGGCATGTTCAAACTACAGCCCGTGGGCCAAATGCGGTCTCGGACAAATTTTTCTTGGCCCTCAGGCTTCCAGGTGAATTGGCCCAGATTACCTTACATCAATTAAAAATGAACTTTTTACTGCAAGTTTTCTGAAAATCTATTTTGATAAAGCAAATATTGAAGATTTGGTGTGTGGTTTTGAGGATTTTAGCATGAATAAAGTTTTAAACATGCACGTATTTCAATTATTCACTGTATTGAGCTCCCATCTATGGCCCTCGATCAGTCCTCTGCTTCGTCTGTGTTTAGAAATGTGGCCCTTATTGAAAAAAGTTTGGACACCCCTGCACTAGAGGCTCTGATCGATGTTATAATTCCTCATCACAAACAGACCTGTAGTTGTGTTTGTTTCATTCACATGTTTAATCCCACAAACTCTGCATATTTAGGCTGAGTTCTTCTCTTAAACAGAAAACACTAGTACGTATTCAAATGGTTTTCGTTGTGGATGCAGTGTTTGTCACACTAATACGATGGAAAACAGCTCCAGAGACAGAACGATCTGGTGCCACCAGCTCCCACGAATACATCTGAGTATGGATCTGATCCGGCACCGTGTGGACGCCTGAAAACGTTGATACGCTGATGTAGGTCTATGTTAGGGATGGGCATGATTAATCGATTAATCGATAATTGATCATTAAGAATTTCATCGATTACGTTAATTTTAATCGACAAACCGAATGTAGGTTGCTGTGCGTAGCGTGACCAAACAGGTCTGTACATGTAACTCTCTGCACTCAGAAGGAGCGAGCAAACACAAACGCGTATTTAACGATGACTTGTACAAGAAATTCCACACTTTCCGTTGCGTTCGGGACAAGTGTGAGTCCATGTGCACAGTGTATAAAGCAGCACATATGTTTCGGTGTCCAGTGGGAAAAAGTTTTGCCAGGTGAGAATCGCGCAATGTCGATGACGAGTCCCCACCTCCCTCCCCCCGTACGGTGTCCTGGTTTTGACAAACGCAAATCTGGTCACACTAACCTGTATTCCACCTGAGTCATGTCTTTTAATCCAACAGAAACTGACCGCATCAGTGACACAAGAGCTGTAGTTTTATCTTCGCTTAGTTTATGCAAATTAGTGATGCGGTTTTAAGTTTCGTTTCTGTGAGAGTTGCACAAAACTGAATTAAACACATTATAATGTCAAACGGGCTGATGTGGCTCTAGAGTCGTTACGGTTTATATGTCGTAAAGTTGAATTTATTTATGCAGATTAGTAGTGCAGATAGTAATAATAATGATGATCATTTTAATATAAAAACGTTAATGATTAATCGATAATCGATCGTTAATTCTTCCGACGATCGATTAAGAAAATTTCATCGAATGCCCATCCCTAGTCTATGTGCTGTGAAGTAATTCACTGCCAAAATGCTAAGAGGCTAGAATATATGTCCATTCATATATACCGTATTTTCAGCGCTATAGGGCGCGCTCATAAGCCTCCAACCCCATCAAAAAACAACTGCACGCCCCACAATCCAGAGCGCCCGATACACAAATCCACACAGCTGTCCCTGTACGACTTCAAAAAACACGGAGCAGACAGCGACCGCGCAGCGATAAACACCGACAGCCACACTCATCACTCCACGAGGACGAGGAACGGAACGGAGAAACGAACTGAAAAAGCGAGTGCAATTTGCCACTTCTAGACACAACTGAACAACTGAGTCACTGCGAACACGCCGACAATCCGTTGGTCCCAGACAGCACCCTCCCTACACGCCACAACTGAACAAAACCCAGAGTCACCGTGAACGACACAAACAAAATCCAACTGACCCATCCAACTGTTGTGTTTCTGGTGCAGTTTATTTGTGAAAAAAGTTCGAAAATAGACCATTTAATGACAGTGCGCCTTATAATCCAGAGCGTCCTATAATGTGGAAAATACGGTATACGGTCTATGTGTACGACCTGCAGAGGTATAATCTCTGAAAAGTTTAACATGAATCATCTCCAACGCGATAGAAGCACAGAACAGACTCACCATCAGCAGAACATCCCTCTGTCACAGAAAGAACACGTATAATCCACTGAGTCGTGTCCTTTAGTCCGACAGAAGCTGAACCTCATCAGCGCACAAGGAGCGAGCTGTTTTTTGAGTGCTCAGTTTATGCAAATGAGCCATGCAGTTTTAAGTTTTGTTTCTGTAAAACGTAAACAAATATGCGCAAAGCTGTGTGGATAGGGAAGGATTGCGGACACAAAAACGATGTGTCTGGACGCAAATCCTTTCCAATACGGTGATACAGTGATTTGTTTCAGTGTAAACGTAGTCTTTGTTCTAACTTGTGATGTTATGGTAATACATGAAGTGCTCCACTGTGTTTTTAAACTCTATACATCTTCACTATGATCACTTGGATGATTTTAGCCCTGGAATCGCAAATATTTACTAAACAAAAGGTAAAGAGCAACTGTTAACTTAAAAACTACCACTTCATGACATCACAAGTTGGAACAGAGTATTTTAAGCTTTGGAGATTACTCAAACATGTGTGAATGAAACAAAACAAAACTCCAGGTTTGTTTTTTGATGAAATAACATTATAACATGTCTTAAAGCTCGTAAATATGATCATAATGTGGCTCTTTCTGTTTCTTTTTTTCACGTCGGGTTACAACAACGATTTATTTATTAATTATTTTTTTACTCCTATACGACGCTCTTCATTATACTGTTAGTAAAAATACGTGCTTCATATCTAATAATAAATATCCTTGAGAGCAGAACTTTATGCAATCTGAGCCAGAAATCTGAACCGCCCCATCCCTGTCTCTTCCTGCATAAATCCCAAATTCCCATCTCTTGTCCAACCAAAGCCACAAACATCACGATGCATCCTTCCTGCCCTCTGATTGGCTGACGTATTTTTTTCCATTAGCCATATTTGGGCCGTCTAAACCTTTGGGGAGCTTTGGTATTTCTGCTCCACTCCCAAAAACATAACAATAGTCGAGTTAATGCGGACTCCAGGCCAGTGGGAATCTCCTGTTTTTTTGGAATGGAGACGTGACATGGAGGTTACTGTAAGGTCTCCAGACGATTTGTTACTGTTGTTAGCGCGATTCCACAAAACCACTTCCTGTTTTTACTACGTCCTCTGGGCCAAAACAACAGTCAGGAGGTCGACTGAGGTGAGTTTAAGAGATGACAAAAGCAGATGTGACAGTTGAACTCTCATACTAGTGCTGGGTAAGGACACTCGTACCTCTAGTCCGATTTGTGGAGATGACGGTAGTTATAGGTAAACTATGAATATGCTGCTTTTTCTTTTAAAACGCCTTGACAATAATTAAGATTTAAAAGTGCTTATAACTGTTATTTCTTCATCTACTAGTAATCGGCCTTGAAACAGAGCAAAGGATCATAGTCTATGTAGTTTCCTCCTTTTTTATTTTTTATTTTTATGCTATATTGCTGCACCGTAACTATTCATTTAAGCAGAGACTTGATTTTTGACATATCGTGATGGTCCATACTCAAGTTACAACTCACCCGTATGTAACAGATAATACTCCCTACAACTTTACAACTCACCCGTATTTAACAGATAATACTCCCTACAACTTTACAACTCACCCGTATGTAACAGATAATACTCCCTACAACTTTACAACTCACCCGTATGTAACAGATAATACTCCCTACAACTTTACAACTCACCCGTATGTAACAGATAATACTCCCTACAACTGTACAACTCACTCTTATGTAACAGATAATACTCCCTACAACTGTACAACTCACTCTTATGTAACAGATAATACTCCCTACAACTGTACAACTCACTCTTATGTAACAGATAATACTCCCTACAACTTTACAACTCACCCGTATGTAACAGATAATACTCCCTACAACTGTACAACTCACCCGTATGTAACAGATAATACTCCCTACAACTTTACAACTCACCCATATGTAACAGATAATACTCCCTACAACTGTACAACTCACCCGTATGTAACAGATAATACTCCCTACAACTGTACAACTCACCCGTATGTAACAGATAATACTCCCTACAACTTTACAACTCACCCGTATGTAGCAGATAACACTCCCTACAACTGTACAACAACTCACCCTTATGTAAAAGAAAATACTCCCTACAACTTTACAACTCACCCGTATGTAACAGATAATACTCCCTACAACTTTACAACTCACCCGTATGTAACAGATAATACTCCCTACAACTGTACAGCTCACCCTTATGTAACAGATAATACTCCCTACAACTGTACAACTCACTCTTATGTAACAGATAATACTCCCTACAACTTTACAACTCACCCATATGTAACAGATAATACTCCCTACAACTTTACAACTCACCCTTATGTAACAGATAATACTCCCTACAACTTTACAACTCACCCTTATGTAACAGATAATACTCCCTACAACTGTACAACTCACTCTTATGTAACAGATAATACTCCCTACAACTGTACAACAGCTCACTCTTATGTAACAGATAATACTCCCTACAACTGTACAACAACTCACTCTTATGTAACAGATAATACTCCCTACAACTGTACAACAACTCACTCTTATGTAACATATAATACTCCCTACAACTGTACAACAAGTCACCCTTATGTAAAAGATAATACTCCATACAACTGTAAAACAACGCTATATAAAACCGATGTGTTATTATTATATTATTATGGCTTATTTTCTGGAATGTTCCTCAATATGGCATTAAAAGTATCTCCATCAAGTCAAGCAAGGCCAAGTTACAGGTCAGATCTGAGGCGAGGCAATAAGAACACAAGTTTTTCAAAGTATTTGGGAGTTAAAAACAAAACTGGAATCGGGGAAAAATGCAATCTAGATATGTTTAATGCCATACTGCAAAACATTTGAGGCAAAGCAGTAATTGTCATCACCATGGAGACAAACAAGCAGCAGACCCTCCTTTTTCTATTTTTATGTGTAATTTTGATCAAAGGTATCAGAAATGCCACTGACTGACCCCACCTGATCCCCTTCCATTCACCTGTTCTGCAATATTTAATACAGCGCAATATTTTTGATTGAGTGCAATACTCAATACAGTGCAATATCTAAACTGAGTGCGATATTTAATACAGTGCAATACCTTAACTGAGTGCAATACTCAATACAGTGCAATATCTAAACTGAGTGCGATATTTAATACAGTGCAATACCTTAACTGAGTGCAATATTTAATACAGCGCAATACCTTAAATGAGTGCAATATTTAATACAGTGCAATACCTTAACTGAGTGCAATATTTAATACAGTGCAATACCTTAACTGAGTGCAATATTTAATACAGTGCAATACCTTAACTGAGTGCAATATTTAATACAGAGCAATATCTTAACTGAGTGCAATATTTAATACAGCGCAATATTTTTGATCGAGTGCAACACTCAATACAGTGCAATATTTAATACAGTGCAATATTTAATACAGTCCAGTCACAGTGAGTTTTGTAGTCTTGGGTGTCACAGCCTTTTTTTATGTCTCGCCTAGTACTTATGAATCTAATTATTTATTTACTCTATCTTTTATTTATTCTTCTTTGTACTGCATTGTAAGTGTCCCGTGTGCATGTCTGCACTGGAGGGTGAGTTGCTTTTTATCTTGTTGTGTATAATGTGGATTGTACATATGTGTAGTGACAATAAAACTCATTCTATTCTATTTTATTTTATTCTTCTTCTAAACATAAAAATGTTCTTTAATTGTCGCAGTTGTTTAAGTATTGCACAAAAAACACACATTTTAAATCTAATCTTATTTTGCAGTTTTTATCTTATTTATTTATTTTATTTCTATATTTATTTTGAGCAAGTTTTGGGCAGACATACTACCTTCTTTTAGTATTATTGATATTGACATTTGTCCAACCATAACAGCAGAAACAAGAAGAACGACAAAAAAAGTGGCCAAAAATGAGTGGGAAGATTCTGTAAGATATGCCCAATTCTCTTAATTTTGCATATTTCTTGTAAAACTAAAAATAATTGTACAACACACTTCTGAGAAAGAAATCTGGGTCACTGGAACCAACCTTCTGAAATAGATACACATATCTCCTTTAGCAGGCTGGGGCTAACCCTAAAAAAGCTGTTTAAATATAACTACGTGTGGGCCTGGTGTTGGGAAGTCCAGGTTTTCATCAATATTCAACAAAGAGGACCATTTTAGTGGAAGGTAAATATGTTTTTCAACTCTTCTTTTTTTTTTTTTTCTGACCTGTTTCTGGTCTCGTGAAACCCACTTAGACTCGATGTTTCCCAGAGTCAGACTTGGCATCATGTGATTCAGCACCTTCGCCACAAAAACCTGCACAAAATACACAAAATACGAAATAAACAAAACGTCAAAAAGTCAAAAAGGGCTGCAACTAACAACATTTTAGCAGTTATCTAGTCACAGGATTTTTTCTATTGAACGTTGAGATTTCTTAAACACATTTTGATCAAACAAAAGTTGATGAAAGTGGTGCTGAAAGGAGAGAGAATACACAAATCAAGTGTATTATTGGTGAAAATTACAAATAGTTTATTCCATTTTGCCATTTTGATTTAATAGCGCTGCTGTTTTTGTGATAAAAACATCTGGATCAGTGTTTCTCAAGCTGTGGTAGGTGAGCTGCCTCTGGTGATATTCATGGCCCACTGCAGTTTGAGTATTTGTTTGATTTAGAGACAAACTGTGTTTTTCTCTTCTTTTAAGTTATTTCTAAGGACTTTATTCGTTGTTTAGTCTCATTTTAGGCCTCATTTAGTCTTATTTTAGACCATGTTTAGTCCGATAGAGTCTGATAATGTTGTAGTCAAGACTGGACTAATCGAGACCAGGACCTGTTCGAGACCAGGACAAGACCAAGACCTCTGGGGGTCGAGACTGAGAAAAGACCAAGACTTTTAAAGGTTGGGTCCGAGACAAGACCGAGACCACGGCCCATGGAGATCAAATCGAGACCATCTTTGTAATTTTCAACATTTATTTGTATTTTACAGTTATTTTGGCGCATGCATATCAAAGTTTTTATAAATCTGTCTACATTTTATCATCGAGTGTCAAACCTCGAGATCGAGACAAGACCAAGTCCAAACGAGGTCGAGTCCGAGACGAGACCAAGATCGCAAAAAAACTGTCTTGAGGCCTGTCTCGAGACCAAGACCAATCTCGAGTACTACGACACTAAAGTCTGGGTTTAGATCTGGTACTAAGAAGACTAAGTATTATCACAGGTGTTACTTGGTGCTGGTCCAGGAAACAGCTGTGATTGTGAAAATATTGCAGTTACTTTAATAGTCAAATAGTCCTGAATTATTCCAGTTAATCTTTGCCTAAAGTCCACCGTACATCCCCCCTCCCCTCTTGTATGTATTTGCAGTAATAAGAGCAGTACAGTACTTATACAGCTCTATACATACTTTGAAGGGAGTGGCTGAGTCCGGGTTCATCTGCACCAAGGGAGCGATGAGGACCACTCCTGTAAACTCCGAGGGCCGTTCGCAGGCGGTCAGGATGGAGATCGCACCGCCCTGGAACAATGAGAAATGACAAGATATTAGGCACAGTTTGTATACGAAGAACATTCTTGTTTTAGTTTATTATTATTAACAAAAACATTTGTCCACACGTTACGACGTTAAAAGCATCCGAAAGTACACGCAGGGGAGGCATGTATATACAGTATGCATGTGAGGGAAACTCCACATGGCCCTACATGGTGTGGAAAATAAACCTCGGTCCATCTTGATTTCAGAATAGAGCTGTAACTGTCTCTCTACATTTACTTATTTAAAGGCAAGATAAAACTGTATTGAATTGAGAGGGGAGGAATTCACTTCTCATGGCAGATGCAAGGAAAAAGTGTGCGCTAAAATGTAATATTGTGTAACAAGCTGATCTGGATTGTCGCGAGGTTTGAGCTTTCAAATTGAGCACAAAGAGTATATTTTCCGACAAAAAATAACACGTACGACACTACACGCTCATGTAGCCAGATACTATATTGTTTTATTATTAAAGCCTGATAATACTCCCTACAACTGTACAACAACTCACCCTTATGTAACAGATAATACTCCCTACATCTGTACAGTAACTCACCCTTATGTAACAGATAATACTCCCTACATCTGTACAGTAACTCACCCTTATGTAACAGATAATACTCCCTACATCTGTACAACTCACCCTTATGTAACAGATAATACTCCCTACATCTGTACAGTAACTCACCCTTATGTAACAGATAATACTCCCTACATCTGTACAGTAACTCACCTTTATGTAACAGATAATACTCCCTACATCTGTACAGTAACTCACCTTTATGTAACAGATAATACTCCCTACATCTGTACAGTAACTCACCTTTATGTAACAGATAATACTCCCTACATCTGTACAGTAACTCACCTTTATGTAACAGATAATACTCCCTACATCTGTACAGTAACTCACCCTTATGTAACAGATAATACTCCCTACATCTGTACAGTAACTCACCCTTATGTAACAGATAATACTCCCTACATCTGTACAACTCACCCTTATGTAACAGATAATACTCCCTACATCTGTACAGTAACTCACCCTTATGTAACAGATAATACTCCCTACATCTGTACAGTAACTCACCCTTATGTAACAGATAATACTCCCTACATCTGTACAGTAACTCACCTTTATGTAACAGATAATACTCCCTACAACTGTACAACTCACCCTTATGTTATGGATAACCCTGTGTCCTGTCACTCATCATATCATTGTTGCTTGTTGTCTTCCTATGACATCTTGTTTATACCTGAGCTTTTTATATTTTATTATTTTTCTGTTTTATTTATGTTTTAAATATTTCTATTTTCCGTTTTATTTGACTTGTACATATACATTTATATAATTATGCCTTATTTCACACATGTCTCTTGCTCTTTTTTGCTGCTTACTTAGAATTTATTATTTTCATTTATTTTTTTTCTCTTTGTTATTATATTATATTGTGTTGTGTGAACTACTGTGTCCAAATTATTTCCCCTGTGGATCAATAAAGTCTAAGTCTAAATCTAAGTCTAAGTCACTTGGCCAAAACACCGTGGAGAGTTTGTTCGTTTTCATGATTTAAATGGGAGATCAATATTACAGAATCAGCTTTTACCAGGTTAATTAAAATCAAGATCTGACAAAACATATGGACAAAAAAAAATAACAATTACAGAAGAAAAGGTAAAAAGATAAAATTGTAATAAAGCACCCAAAGGTCTGAGAATCGATTCTGCTTGGACCTGTTGTCGTATTCTTCCCTTCGCACCATCAAGTGTAGAGTGAATGAATAAAGCTTTAGGTTTCTGGAAAGGCACTGTTTAAATTATTATTATTATATCTTATTATTATTATACAGAGATGTGAAAAGTCTGAGAGGTGATTGTGGTTGTGGTCTATTGTGTGTGAGCTGAAGTGAGCGGAGAGTCAAAGGCCCCACTCTGTGTAGAACAAGCGTCTTTGTTAGAATCAGCAGGACCCTCGTCACCAGGGCCCCTGTTTGGGATTCTGAGGAAATATGAACTCAGATACAGACACATGAGGCAGAAAAGAAACTCAAATCGTGGAGAAGAACTGTCAAGATGATTTGGGTCATGCGTCTATGTAACGTTTTGTTTGGGAGTCCATTTGAACACGGCTCTACCTTACATTTATTCAATTACAGGTGGTTTTATAGCTGAAAAATACTGGTTTGGTTTGTTTCATAGTACAAAATGTAACTTTTCTATCGTATGTGTTCAATTATAGATGGTTTTGCTGCTCAAAAATACATCAGAAAACCTGCATTCTTACTTCGAGCGGTGTGCTTTTCCACAGAACTGACATGTAATTTGGTCTTGGGTGCTTGTTTACATGGAAATCACGGAGATCAGTTTAAAGCAACGTGATGGAACATTGAAAGAAAAGCAATAACATCTTAGTGGCATTTAGTACAAAGATTACATAGAGCCATGGAAATGTAGTTCCTTAAAAATGTATCTTAAATCTATGTTATCTATGTTTTAAAATAGACATTCTGACTGTGAGCGGGGTTGCCTTTCCATAAATCTGACCTGTAACTTGGTCTGGTTTGGTCTCCACGGTGATAGAAAGGTTTAATGTCATACACTAAAGACAACATTTCCAAAGTCATCACTGTTCTGCATAAAGTAAAGTTCTCACTAAATAGTACAGCGTTATTAACTTTGTATAACACCATATTTGATGCACTGTCTAGAAATTTGGGGGTCAACATGTAAAATTTACTTACAACCTTTATTTATTTTACAAAAACGGGCCCTGAGAATTATCACTAACAGTTATTATAGAGAGCCATCCTACCCAGTATTTGTTCAACTTAAAGTGTTGAAAATGCATGATACTGTTGACTTAAGTCTCCTCAAAGTCATGTATAAAGCAAAGTGCAAATGTATTACCGGTAAATATTCAAAGACTGTTTGAGACACGAACAAGACACTACAATTTAAAAGGAACCTACATGTTTAATAAAACCCAGATTCAGAGCAAAGTTTATGGAGCGAAGAATCACTGTGAAAGGAGTTAACTTACTGACGGACAAAAGATATAAAAGAATCAAGCACAATAATGGCATTTAAAAGAAACATAAAATCCAGTGCAATGTGTATTTATGAAAAAGGAATGAAAAACTAAGATGTTGTGCATAAAAGTGAAGATTTCTGTTTGCAATTGATTAATAAGGCTATGTTCAGACTGCAGGGCTTAACGCTCAATTCCGATTTTTTGGTGAAATCCGATGTTTTTTCGAGGTCGTTCACATTTCCAATTAAATGCAACTTGTATGTGACTCCAGTGTGAACATTAAACGGCCCAAAAGTGTCCCACATGTGACACTGGAGACACGACGACGTCAACCGCAGCGAGCGTGATCTGTGTTTACGGAAGTTGTCCAAACATGGACGCAGCATCGAGCACCTGGAGATTTTAAAGTTCCTCTCGTACCGGAGCCAGAACATGAACAACTTACTTGTTTTAAGGAGGAGATTGAGAAGGAGAAGGACGAGGTTTTTGGTCGTGGTGTTTTGTGGGGACAGCGGCAGCGACGTCCGTTGAAAGGAACGTGTGGATGTGGAGACGGAGCCAAGAGTGGTGAGTGGTGATGTGCTTCGCTTCAGTGACACGGAGTTCATTAACAATTTTCACCTACTTCAGCGCAGAATAGTGACGTTTGTGTCTTGTTGATAACGTGTAGGTGGATGAATGCACTTTGACCGTTCAGACTAAAGTCACATGTCAAAAGATCAGATATGTATCGGTTTCAGGAGCACATATCCAAGTGTCCTGGGTCACATTTGAAAAAATCGGATCTGTGTCGTTCAGACTGTCATTAAAATATCAGATACAGGTCACATAGGGGCCAAAAAATCGGATTTGGTTCACTTCAGCCTGCAGTCTGAACGCAGTCTAATTGTGCCTGAACTGAAATGTACAGATTTGAAATGTTTTGTAACCATCGGTGTTGATGTTTTGTCTTGAAAAGGGAAAAGGGGCCTGATAACATAAGATTTCTCTTCTTTCTGCTCCTTTTCATTCATTTCTTGTATGTTTGATGTTGTGACACCATCCATCCATCCATTTTCTCCGCTTATCCAAGGGAACAGTTGAGGACGGCCTCCCAGACTTCCCTCTCCACACACACGTCCTCCAGCTCTTCCAATCCCCACTTCCCAGGCCAGCCCAGAGACAAGTCCCTCCAGCGTGTCCTGGGTCTGCCCCGGGGCCTCCTCCCAGTGGGACTGCCAGCTCCCGAGGAGGCGTCCAGGAGGCATCCGGAACAGATGCCCGAGCCACCTCTGGCTCCTCTCGACGTGGAGGAGCAGCGACTCTACTCCGAGCTCCTCCCTGACTGCTCCTCACCCATTCTAAGGGAGCGCCCAGCCACCCTGCGGAGGAAACTAATTTCGCCCGCTTGTATCCGCGATCTTGTCCTTTCGGTCATGTTGTGACACTGTTGACGTTTTTTTATACTTTGTGAATGAAATAAAAATACTGTGAAACATTCCAGACAAAGCAAAAACACCTCAGTTTAGAAAAGCATTCGACGGACCCTCCACCGGAAAAGTTTCGCAATGCAGGTTTAGACTAGGGCTTGAAACAATTATTTATGTGCCGTCAAAAGTCAAACTGAGGACAGACTTAGTAACATTTTACCAAGGCAGAGTCATTATTGCATATTTAATACAGACGGGGCGCAGCTAAAATGAATATAGATGAAATTAGAGATGAACCGACAGCTGCTTTAATATGCATAAAGCGCTCTTATCGCGTTTGTAGTGAAATAAGGTCGAGGATTAAGGATAGTGTTAGGATAAGTGAGGCTGAATTCAGATTAAATAGTTGGGGGAAAATGACCAAAATCGATCGTTCCACCTCGTGATGTCATGTGGTAAACTCCATACACCTTCACCAGAATCATTTTGATCATTTCAGCCCTGGAATTGACAGAGGAAAAGTTTACATATGTTATTAGGTT